ATCCTTCTATCAAACTAACCGCAAACGTGAGTGACAAAAGCATAGACTTTCTCGATACCACAGTCTTTAAGGGAGGTTCCATAGCAGAAACAAATAAACTGGATATTAAAGTGTATTTCAAAGAAACTGATACTCATCAACTCTTGCACAAGAGCTCCTTTCACCCAAAAAATACCTTTTCTGGTATAATTAAGTCACAAGTTTTACGATTTCATCGAATTTGTACAAGATCTTCTGATTTCAACCAAGCCTGTACGATTGTTTTCTCAAAACTGAAAGAGCGTGGGTACTCTAAACGATTTTTACGAAACATAAAAATTCCACCTTAGCACAGATAGCAGCTAAAAACAGACTTTATGCCGAAGTACCTCCAGGTTTAAGAAGTGCTCCATGTTTGTCCAGTAGATGCAAAACATGTCCCTTTATATCAGAAACTCATTATTTTGTAAGCAACTCTACGAATAAAAGGTACCCGATCCAGGAACATCTAACATGTGAACATTCGAATGTAATATATTTAATTTCATGCAAGAAATGCCCCAAACAATATGTAGGAGAAACTAAGAATAATTTACGAACTAGCTTTAATGCTCATATGTCAGACATCAAATTAAAGAAAGACAAGCCTGTTTCTAATCATTTCAACCTCGACGACCATTCGCCCTAATCCCAATTGAGCGTATAGAAATTGACTAAGATGAAACTACCAAATTCCGTCAATCTAGGGACGCCCATTGGATTGAGACATTGAATACAGCAAGACCTATAGGACTAAATATTCATCATAATGTAGGCATAGCACCCTTTGTTGTCCCGTTTAATACAACCAGCAATCGAGCAAGCAAGATAGTTCATGCCCACTATAAGATCCTTCAAGAGAAATTCCCCCATGTCTATAAGCAGAAAATGATAGTTGCATATTCAAAAAGTAAGAACTTAAATGATAATATTGTTCATAGTAAACTAAAAACAATCAGCACATAACAGACACTATACTTCTGTTTTTTTCTAATTTCAGATCAGAATAAGAACAGAAGAAAACTCAATATCAAGACCCTTAATCCTAATTTCTAAATAAAGTGTCTGCTCCACCCTAGGCCTGTACATTTGGGAGAATCAAACCCTCCCTTCCCCGAAATTTAAAATCAAGGAGATTTTGTTTATTTTGTGTTAAGTGGTTCTGTATATTTCATTGTCTAAAATGTTTTCAACATTTCATTTCAAAGAGTGGAGATGTCACATTATTGAGTCTATATGATAAGCACAGTTTGAATATTAGAAGGTTTATAGTAATGACGTAATTAACGTTACTAGTAATAGCGTATACTCTACTGAGTATTATGGGATATACCTCGTGCAGTCTAAACAAAATGTCTTGAACCATCTTCTGTTATATTAACATCTCTACCTGCCAATAACGTTGTTACAGTTCCTTATTTCATAAAAGATTCCCACATACACAATAGACGTGTAAGAATTGTTTCATATACAATCCTTCGTACATAATGTTTGATAATAGTAACCTAGTAGTAAACAAAATATATTTTTGTCTCAATTTTAGGACACTTAAACTTTAGCCGCGGGAGACAAATGTTGCAACTGAGCCTATCTAAAACATCCAAGGAACAGGAGAAACAATCAAAGTTTGTAAAAGTCGTTGATGAAACAGTTCCTGTTTTTCACATGCCAGAGATTGCTAATATGAACAATGAAGAAGCTCTACTTTTTTTGGCAGAACTTATAGCTGATGACAAAACAGATAAAGATGGAGATGATTCTGCTGAAGTGTCTTTGTGTGAAGTGGAATCATTTTTGCCTACAATGGAAGCCGTCTTTGAAATCTGTCCTTTAGTCACAAATGTTGAGCTGAAAGATGATCAAGATTATGTTCCTTCTGTTCAAGATGAACATGATTCTATTATCGCCAAAGAAGAACCTCATGCGAACAAGACTGTGAAGAGAAAGTTGGTTTTAGAAGAGTCAGTTTTTTGAGCGGTTTTTTGAGAAAATTGCCAAATTACCTTCACATTATTGTCGCGCTAAATCCACCAAGCTGTATCTGGAACCTGAAATCAGATCTATGTCTCATCTCTATAACCTCTATTCTGACCTTTGTCGAGAACACGAAAGAACAAAATTAAGTAGGAAACTATTTGTTGAAGAGTTTAGCAACTTAAATCTGTCCCTATTTCAGCCAAAAAAGATCAATGTGACACTTGTGTTGCTTATGAGACTGGAAATATCTGAAGATGTGTTGTCTGTCCATATCGCTCGAAAGGAGGAGTCTCGAGCCGAAAAAGCAAAAGATAAAGCGCTGAGTAAAAACTCTGACGGCAAGAGAATTATGACCCTGGCGATGGACCTGCAGGCTGTCCTTTTATCCCCCCGATTAAAGGCATCCGCCCTTTACTATAAAACCAAGCTGTCGGTCCATAACTTCACAATATACAATCTTGCTACCAAGAGTGTAAGATGTTACGTATGGCATGAAGATGAGGTGGACTCACAGCAAGTGAATTCGCTTCTTGTGTATGGGATTTTCTTCTCGAATCACGAGATAAATATGACACAGCCATGATTTATAGCGATGGGTGCACCTATCAAAATAGAAATGCTATTCTTGCAAATGCATTACAAACCTTTGTGAATAAATATGATAAGATAATTATACAGAAAATTTTTGAAAGAGGCCACACTCAAATGGAGGTCCGCAGTGTACATTCAGCTATAGAACAGAAATGAAAAAAAAATACTAAAATATACTGCCCAGCTGACTATGTTCGTGTTAT